CCACAGGTAGCGATCTTTTTTCTCGGCTAAGGCTTTTTGTTTGTCAACCTATGCCGTGCTGACCAGTTCGACTAGCTTTGCATTCTCGGATTCTAGCTCGGTTAGCTTGGTATTAGCCTCCTTCAGTTCGGCTACCTTGGCATCTGCATTAGCCACGGCTAACCGTGCTGTCTTTCGCAGCTCAAGCACACGTTTGTGAGCCACTTGGCTCTTTTGCAGGGCTTGCACAACATTCAAAACAGTTACATAAAAACCGAGTATTGGGTCCATGACAATATCAATCATTGAGTTACAGGGATTCATATTTTACCAATATCACAGACTTGGACGCCAAGCGGATGGCCTTTAGCTCGGCCAAACCCTTATGCCGCTCCATGTCGGCAGGCAGGCAGACACTTTTTGCTAGGTTGAAAGCTAGGAGGTGATCCTTTTCAGCACTGACAGAGTCGTGGGCGGTTACAGCACTACCCCTACAGGACACAGTTAGTGCCCACATCGGAGGGGATGGAGGATCGGAGGGGTTTGGCCGGTTGCGACTTAGGGGCAGACTGGCTTCTGGCAGCTCGGCTTCCAACGGTTCGATGTCATCTTTGTTTGTCAGGCATTATGGCACAGCGGAGCTGGTGCAAGCCCATTTGTTTGGCCGAGATGGCGCAGCTCGGGTAGTTGGCAAGGCCATCACAGCCGTCACGTGATTGACCGACCAGAGGTATCTCGGCTTGAACCTTGGCGGTGGAAGTTGAGGTTTGCTCGGTGATAAGGGCACGAATGGCTCGTCGCTTAGCCATTTCCTACTCTTCGGTTAGTGGGATAAGGTTGATCTGGGGCAAGTTAGGGTTCGATTCGGGTGATGGTTCAAGAAGGAAGTCAATAACCTTAGTTTTTCTCCTTTCGCTATATTAATAGATTGGCTCGAAATTTAGTAGCTCGCTCCAATCTCGGTGGTAGTATCGAAGTGCGGCACAAAGGGTGTCTTGATTGGGGTAAGCGTAATTTGATTTAAGTTGGTTTAAATCTGTAAAAGAGATAAGGAACGTAATGGGTTAGCACAGTGGTTGTTGGAACAACAAAGAAATTTAAACCGGAATGTTCTTACCAGCTGTTCCTTTATTCCAGTTTATATTGTAGCCCGGTATCTGAGCTTCCTGATCTTCAAAATGGCCAGAACCCAGAAGAAATCATCATCGTTTAAGTCTTTGTCTGGTGTGTTTTTGATAATTTTTTCTCGGCCTCTTCTTACTCTGAGGTAGTACACCCACCCGTCGTCATTTTGGCTAAGCGAATATTGATGAAATAGTTCAGCCAATCCGAGGTTGACGCCGAGCCAGCGGTGCAGCTCAGCGATACCATTTATTATTCTATAAGTGTTTGTGGATAATTGGGTTGGATAAAATCTGGTTTGCCTAAGGAACTCACAGATAAGGGGCTGTGTGGGGAACCGAAGCCCGGCTTCTAGGATCGATATCAGTGTGAAAAGGACGAAGCTCGGTTTGCCCTAGGGTGTGGTGTCTAGCTTGGCTAAGGAGAGGTGGACGTCGTCTAGAATATGGTAGTCTCTTCGAAATTTGGCTATGGCTCTAGGCAAGTCCACCATGAATCGATATTTACCTATTAAACTTAAAGATTGTTATGTAAAAATGAGCACGGCAGCCTAGCTCGACACTGGTATGACTTTGGATGGCTTGGTTGAGCAAAATCGCCCAGGGAAAAAATGCAAGGGTGTGCCTGGCCAACCTAGTCAAGTCTGCAAAGTGGAAATAAAAGGTGTTATGTCCAGATAACTAGATCGGGCTAAGTAAAGTAAAATAAACCTAGCTCGGCTATAACGGGTTATAGACCATTTTTCTAGTTCGACCAGAAAACATGGCCGACTCAAGGTTTATAGCATGGTTGGTGATCAATGCATTTCTAGTTCGGTCAAGTACAAGCCTAAAGGTCACAAACAAGTGCCTAGTTCGATCGTAGTACGATTTTGGATCAAAGATCATGTTCTAAAGGTCATATATGTGTGTTTAGGTTTAAGCGTGAGGTTTTGGGTTTATGATATTTTGCTCAAATGATCTAGTGCATATAACACATATATGGAGGTTAAGTACTGGAAGTACAAAAATGAATAAAAATGAATATCAGCAAAAGGAAGAAAAAGGCATTAACAACTTACGAGTTTAGAAGTGTGAAGACAAAATCCAACCAGTAAGGGGGCAAGCGAAGTGGATACTATAGTTACTTGGTTTGAACTGGAGCAAAGGAGGCACAGATGTAGAACACAGAATGTAGAGGAGAGAAGATGAACAGTGCGAGTGTTTTGTTCAAGAAATGGGTTTTATATAGACACGAAAACGGCAGGACTTTTCGAACGTTTTTTTTTATAATAAATATGAGATGGTTATCACAGTACGGAGAAGCAATGGACATGTGCCACGTGTCCCAATGAGGACACGATGTCAAATACGCGAAACGACGGGCTGTGTGATAGGCACAGTTCTAGAAAACCGAGCTACCTAGGGTTGGACGTGTCTATGGTTCAGATAGGAGGAGTATTTTACTTCGGTTGGGTTGTTTTTGGTTCGGTTAGTTGGAATATCTTAGCACGGCTCGAGAAGACTAATCCCAATTATGCACTGCAGATAGAATTAAGGGCCAATTAAGAGGGCCATTTATATGCGAATTGGGCCGAGCTAAGACCATATGTTGAAGTAGACCGAGCTAGGTACACTCTCTTGGTCATTGGGCCGCGCTGTGAGCGGAAATGGGAATGGAGTAAGCTCGGTCTTAGACTGGGCAGTTATTCGACCCAATGCTTGGGCCGAGGTGGTTATAATTGATCCAAGAAGGACCGGGGTGCGATGGTGACTGGGTAGTGAACTGGTTTATCTTGGTCAAATACCGTCCTGGTTCTGTTTGGCGTAGCGCAAGGCCATGCTAGCTCGGTAGAGCTGCTATCAAGCCGATGTAAGGAGATTTGAGCCATCTCACTTGGTTAGTAATAAGTAGGGTGTTATAAGGATATGTATTATCCTTGAGAGTGTGATTCCTAGGAAGACTTTTATAAGGAGAGTTGGAGTTTTACTAGGATTGTGCCAGGTAGAATTTAAAAAAGCTCATGATAGGACCTATGTACAGGTATCACAATTTCTACTCTCAAATTTATAACTTTTTGTCTATTGGCTAACTTAGGCATCGGAGAGGTATTCGGCACACACTCGCCAGCTAGCTCACGTTTATGTTTTCAAGAGTAAAGCAACGATGTTTGGAGGAGTGCAAACTTGATTACCAAGATAATACGAGAAGATTATTTCGTGCTCGTACAAAAAGTGACCTCAATAAATTACGAAATTTGGACAGAGGCATGTATACGTAATTCTAGACAACTTTTGTATTCTAACATTTTACTAAAAAGATCGATTAGAACTTGCAATCGAATGATCTTGGTTACAATAGTTTTTATTCATTTTAGCAATGCAGATTTTAAATGTTGTTTTAACCCATGAAACAAGCTCATTTTTATGGATTTCGTGCAAACTGAAGTAAAACATTATTCTGAACACTTTTTGTGTTTTGAACTTTTCCTCAAAAAAATCATCTTAGGACAGTTTCTTTTCGTTTTCAGTTTCAAATTTTTCAGTCGAATTCCGTCTAGGTTCTTCTATCAAGTTTTTCTCTTAACCTGTTCAGTTTCTGCTAAATTCGTTCGCATTGCCTTTTAGGAAATTTGATTCTGTACAACTTTTGTTCTTTGAGTTTTGATTAATTTGAATGATTTACGCATGAAGCGGTGCATTTTTGTACTTTTTTAATAATTTACTTATGATTAAATTATACTAACTTTATTTTTTACAGGATGGTGGGTCTTACTAATTTTTATGCAGGGTTGACCTATCATATTTTATTTTATTTTGATTATTTTTTTTTTTGGTATATACTCAATTTATATTTAGTTGTATATGGGCAAGAAACTAAATGCCACCGTATCTCGAGAAACTACCCATTTGTCTCGATGCGGGTGGAACTATTTGTCCTATTCTGTAATAAGAATTAAATATATTTTTGTTTATGTTTGTTTGACGCGTGGGTGTCAAATCTTACACTCATACTAGTATACTTGTATACTGACCCATTTTATCTCTTAGCAACTCGAGTGCGCTTTGTTTAAGCGCAGCCGAACTTCCTTTGCAGAATTAATTGAGACTATGGTGGTGACGAGAATTAACTATGAGTGTAGAACACGCCTTTCTGACTTCTTTTATTTTCTGGAGTTTAGGGTTGATATTAGTTTATTTATATGTAGTTTTTTTTATGACCTTAGTATTTTGATAGTTTGACATTGTAGGTATTTTTTCAACTTTACATTATTTAAGTTATTTTGATTATTTGTTAGTACTAGAATGTTAGAGGTATGGAATAGTCATGAATTTATGATGAATGGTTTGGTTGGTGTTTGTTATGTTTTTTCTTTTTTCATTGTAATTTTTTTTTAGCATTGAATTTCCTTAAATTTTATGGAGACGAGAACATTTAGATTTTGTTTCACCTTTAAAATTTAGATAATGAAATATTGATCAAGATTTAATTCTAATTTAATATTTAATTGTCTAAATTTTAAAGTGTGACAATTTTAAAATTTTTAAAATATATTTAATGAAAAATAAAGAGTAATGATTAGACTCTTTCATATTATATTAAACTTTTAACTAAAATTTTTCACAAAATTCAATGAAAAAAAAATAGGATCGGAGATGCTCTTATACAATGGCAAAATATAAAACGGTTCTTTTCTTTTATTTCTTATTCAAGAATCTTTCTATTCTTTTCTTTTCTGCTGTAACGTTTTCTCCAGGATCCCAAACATGGTGTAGCAATTTGAAACAAGTTTTATCCTTTCCGCAAGAACCAGGAGAAGAAACAGAAGGAGAAAGCACTGTTCAAGTTGATTCAAACATTTAGGTTTAGGGAAAAAATCCGTATCTGCTTTCTCATACAAGCATCCAAGAAGAAGAGCAATGGCAATGTCGGACTTTTTTCCAGACGAAATCATGGTTGAAATCCTCCAGAGACTACCCACCAAATCCCTAATCAAATTCAGGTCTGTTTCCAAATCTTGGAACTCTCTCATCACAAGCCCTAATTTTATCAATACCCACCTCACTCACTCCCTCACTTCCAATTCCTACATCAACAGCTATGGTAATCTCCCACTCATGATAGTTAGGCAATGTGTTTCTATTCCACCTCCCAGAACAGAGCACTATAAACTCTGTATTGATACTGAAGACTCATTTGATGAATACAAAGACCTTGAAATCCCAATAAAGAGCCGCTGTCTCCCTTTTTTTTACGCAATTGGGTATGCGAAAGGTTTGTTTTGCCTTTTCGATCAAGACCGGTTTTTTCTTTGGAACCCATCAATTAGAAAGTCCATGGCCATGCCCAAGCCTACAATCAAGGCGGCTTTTCATCGTCATGGGTTCGGGTTTGATCCACGTAACAACGATTATAAAGTGGTCAGAATAGTTAATTTTTATCCAACTATGGAGGCGCCAACAACACACATTGAGGTTTACTCCCTTAATGCGGCCTCGTGGAAAATGTCTAGCACGGGAGAAACTCTTCTCCGGTTGAGATTACTAGGGGGCGATTCACTTCTTATTTAGAAGGGGCTGTTCATTTTGCTGCGATTATGTGGAATTCCAATGATCCATTGATTTTGTCGTTTGATTTGTCTGATGAGGTGTTTCAAACGATGATGTTACCAAATGGTATGGTAGGCGTGAGCACGGAGGAGATGTGGACTTCAGTCTTTGGGGGATTGCTTTCTCTGTTATGTTACGAAGATGCTGCTCCAAACCAGTATTGTTCCGTTTGGATAATGAAAGAGTATGGTGTAGTCGATTCTTGGTGTAAACAGTTCACAGTTGATCTAAGCGGGGGAATTACAGAGGTATTAGGTATGCGAAATAATGGTCATGTATTATTGGAGACAAAAACGACTAGGAATTGGGTGCTTTCTTCATATGACCCTTCGAACCATCAAATTAAGAATTTGGGAATTCATGCTAGTTCCTACCATTTTGTTGTTGATACTTACGAGGAGAACCTTGTCTTACTCAACAAACCAAATGATGCATTTTCTTGAAGGCAAGTGAGCAGGAAGAGGAAAGACAGGCAACAGCTTGATTCAACTCAATTTCAACATTTATTTTCCGGACTTTTAACTTACTCGTAGTATATGCTAGATTTGGTTGCCTGCCTATATGTCAAACCTCAATATGCAGATTTTGGGGATGTTAAATTGTTCTGGAATGCTATGAAGACTGGTCAGTATTGCTAAATACTGTTTTGTGGTAATGGTTGATAATTAAACATTAGCAAGTGTATAAAATGGTAATGGCTTGCAAGATGGATCTTTGGATTTGTTGTGGTAATGGCTTTATGTTATGACAAGCAAAAGAATGGAAAGGATGCAAACCCAGACCACCAAACCCCATGGGAGTCCACACTATTCCAACTTGAAAGATGGATCTTTGGAGGATTCTTCATTCCAACTAAATCTCAAATCTTTAACCCCAAAATGATAATATTGGTATGAAATCATCTGTCGACGGGAAAATTGATCTTACCTGACCTAACCTAACTACTGTTGATGAACACAATGGGTTCAAATGCTCTATGTAACATAATGTCTTTGTTTTGCTTTTAGCAGCATTTAGGTTGAGCTTATTTATTATAGATTATCATGTTGTTTGTGTACATTAACTTTGTTGATCGCAAATGCAGGTAAAACCAAGTTGGATAATCTCAAAGATTCAATGGATTCAAAACATGACCTAGTGGACGACACAGCCCTGAAGCATGGGAAAGAATCACAAACAAACACATGTATGATGCACAAGCATTCACGTTACACATGGCTCATCTTTACCAAATAGAAATACCTCTGATATGCTGATTCTTTGGGGGTTCACTCTGTTCATTCACTTAGATATTGGTTCTATTTTAGACTAGCTTTCCCAGCCCACAACATTCCCAACCTGCTAAAAGGAGATTTTAGTCTCAGGCTTTTGGTTCAGCCCCCATTTCATTTGTATGTCAATACGGTTTACTGTTTTTGCAGAGATTGTGAGACGTGTTATTACTCTTCTTAGTAATCAATCAACTTTAAAATGGGTGGCTTGTCCTGGTCACTGATATTGATTCTCCAAAGCTTATCTTGGCATGGATTTGGTGAGGGAAAAGAGGGGCAAAGAAAAAGAAAATCATGTGTTTGGTTTTAGTTTTTCGGATCAAGTTTTTTGGAAATTGAGTTTTTTTATTTTCCGTGTTTTTTGTTTTTAGTTAATATTTTTAAAATTTTAAACATTTTTTTTACTTTTTTAGATGCACCTTACTTAGATGTATCTAAAAAGTAAAAAAAATGTGAAAAAATATTTTAAAAAATTAAGAAATTTATAAAAATACAAAAAATGTACTGAATTCAGTGCAGAGGCATCGGGCAACAATCTTGCAATGTGTGAAGGTATTCTTTGAAATGATGTTCGTTACTATACTCTATTTTGCCTTTTTCCTGCTTTGGCATTTTTTTTTGGTTTATATGCTATTTTGTTACAAATTGAACCATTAAATTTAATGATTTCCATTGATATCTAGTATGGTTACAAGCCCTTTCAAGATAATTAGCACGGTTACAAGATATTGATGATCCATGTATTTGTATATTTTATTAATTTCAAACGTTGAAATTTTATTATGTTATGTTGTTGTGAGACCATGTGGTTGATTGGTTTTATAGTAGTATTTATATATTTTTTCTCTTTGTTGTCTTGTGTCTTAACATTAAAGGGATTGAAGTTCTCTGTGCCATGTCTTTTATGGAAGGACACTATTTATGGTGGTTAGATAACAAATTATGGGGTTAAAAAAGACTTTCTGGAAGCCAATATTTTATGCGATTTCATGGTCCATATATGACTGGTTAGAAATGATCTATTCAGGATAGAAAAACCCTTCTGGTTTGATGTGGTTGAATTAGTGAAAGTAAGAGTTGGTCATTGGGTGAAAGACTAGAAAGAATATACACTCTGTTTAGTTTGAAGTTGTAATGCATTGGAATTCTTATCAATATGAATTGATAACTTGTGAATTTAATTTTGTGGTTTCTAGGTCAACTCTTGACCAAAGTTGTCATGCACGAATAGCGGCACTTATTACTAATATTCAAATGCTGCATGATGAAATTGACCTCCTGTTTGAAGAGATAAACAGACAGATAGAGGTATCAAGCAGAGTAAGTTTTGTGAAACTTTTATTTTTTCTTTGACAAGTTAAATGATTGATATACTAGAAAGGCAGGTTTATGATAATGGGTATTAAGGAACCTTTGGAAAAAACCGTCCACTTCTTGTGTGAATGGCATGGGAGTGGCAATGACACTTTCTTTTTGCTGAATGAGTGGGATTAGACTTGGTTGTTAGAGTAACGTATATGGAGCGAAAGATATCTCTCAAAACTTGTTTGGGATTCTTGGACCATGTGTAGGTTATAGGTTACTGTGTAATGTTTTTGATGTTTCTAATGTCTTTTTCTTAGGAAAAAATCGATTTGATGAGGCTCACTGCCACTTCTCAAGGTTCCGCGGTGAATGATTGTAATGTGGCTGAGAAACTGAGCCACAGCAGTGCCCTTGGCTGGGGTGTAGGCATCAAGGTCAAAGATTTAAACGGCATCACCTCCTCAGGCCAAGGGTGTTGCAATAAGGATTATATGAGTGATGAGGATTTGGAGGAACATTTAAGAAAAATGAAGGCTAAATCTACTGAAATGCTGAAGAAGTTGTCTGAAAAAAGGTATCAACTATTGCAGACTTATGGCAAATCATTAATCCCTACAGTGCAGGCGTCTAATGCACAACCTTGTTCCATGTACAATCTAAAGCTTATTGAATATTTGTATTGAATTGTGTAATTTGAATTTGTACTTGTGATTCAATTCATAGAAGACACTTTGCATGTTTGTCCCCCTATTGGTGTATTTTATGTAAATCTTGATTAGAAACAAATTGTATTCCATATCAAAAAAATAATAATAAAATAAAAATAAGTGTACAAAATGAAGGACAACCAAGAGTGCTACCACGAGTAGTGGTTGTTGCTAGAAACTAAGGCTTGGTTTGGCATCTTTAAAAAAAGTCAAAAAGTCACTATTCTATTTAAGTCACATCATCCTATTTAAGTCATATCACCTCTCTACCACATCATTTCAAACCCAACTCATATTTCATAAAAAGTCAAAAAGTACACTTATTTAGGACATCCTAAACAACCCTTAACTCTAGGAAGATTATGTACACTATCTAATAATTTTATTACAGCTTTTTAATCTAAATTAACCATTAACCATGTAATATCCTTGGAAACTTTTGAAGATGAAAGCTCATAGGATTCCAAAAAAGCACAAGCATTGTCCAAAATGTAATGAATAAATGTCAAGCAGAAGGTATTGGTCACCTTTGGTTGCACTGGTCCTTTACTTTTTGATTATGGGTAAAGTTTTCCATGGAGCTTAATGTATATTGGTGCCCTCCGATGAGATGTAATTCACTGTTTGCAGTTCACTATATGGGAACAGGAACAAGAAAAAAGGCAACCTGATGGGGGTGAATTGGGTTGACAAAAATTTAAAACTCAACACAATCAAAGTAAACCCAAAAACTTAAATGTGATGAATAATCGAAATGACAATATATATACTTGAGATAAAGATCAATCTTAAGAATGCAAGTGTACAGGGGGTGTGCTCAAATGATGTGAAATCAATATGTCAAAGTATTGTACAATCTCATGTGGAAGCTATCTTGTATCCCTGATTGAAGTATTCTGTAATGAGTTCTATAGCATTTGAATGTACAACTGAATCTCATATCTTTAACCCAAAATGATAATGTTGGTATGAGATCAACTGTTGATGGGTAAATTGATCTTACTTGACCTAGCAACTGTTAAGGAAAAGAAAAGGCTTGTTTCAAGTGCGATAAACACAATGGATTAAAATGGTCTATATAACATATTGGAATAATGTATTTCCTTTTTGACTTTTAAAAGATCTGTTGATATAGATAGATATCCTTGTTTTGCTTTTAGCTGCTTGTGTGCATTAACTTTGTTCACAAATGCAGGTAAAACCAAATTGGATAATCTCAAAGATTCAATGGATTCAAAACATGACGTAGTGGATGACATAACCCTGAAGCATGAGAAAGAATCACAAACAAACACATGTACGATGCACAAGCATTCACGTTACACACGGCTGGTCTTTATACCATATGGAAACTACCTCTGATATTCTGTTTCTGTGGGATTCACTCTGTTAATTCGCTTAGATAGTGGTTATATTTTTACTATCTTTCCCAGCTCACAACCATCCCAACCTGCAACAAACCTTTACATTTGTATAATTAGTAATCAATACTGTTTTTTTATTTTTTATTTTTTATTTTGGCAGAGATTTTGAGAGGTGTTCTCTATTCTTCCAAGTTACGAATCACTTACACTTCAAAATAGGTGCCTTATTCGTGTCATTGACACTTTCCCCCTCAAAGACACGACACTGTGTGTTAAATTTTTTAAACTACTATTTTTTTTGTAGGACATTTTGGGAACATTTCACGGATATGTTTGTCCTCTGTTTGGATACGTCTCAAGACATTTTTTGAATTTCTTTTTAATAATTTTAGAAAGATTATTTGTGGTCTAAATTATATGAAATTAAAGAGGGTGAAGAGTGAAAAAAAAATAAAAATACAAAAACATATATGTTTTCTTGAGAACACAATCATATACTTTGATGCCTTTTATATGTGGCATTAATTTATATTCATATATATAGCAAATAAATATATTTCATAAAAAGAAAAAAGCATATAAATGAACATATATATATATATATATATATTTGAAAAGTGGGTTTTTATGTAAGTTTTTTTAGTTATAGAATATTATTGGATAAAAAAAATTTAGTGTTTAGAAAGATAGTTGTGTTTTTTTGTGGTTGGATGTGATGTTTATGAGAGAAAAAGTGAAATGATTATGAGGTAGGATGTGATATTTTGTTTGGATGTGTTTTTTTTTTTTATTTTGCAAAAAGTTTGTCTTTTTATAAAAAAAAAATCAAAAAAAAACCTAAGTTTCAAACTTCCCAAACGCCACCATAATATTATATTTGCCATATTCTCACCATATTCATATCTTAGTGTTTTTTTTTTTTTTTTGAATTGCATTGTTTGTGCCCATTTTGTTTTATATTTATCTGTTGAGAAAAACTACACACCATAATTTTTTTTTATAAGTTCGGAAGAAATATTAAAAATGAAAAAAAAAAAAAAAATCATTATTCCTTTAGTTACTATAGAAAATAAATGATGAAAATTAAATATATGAAAAATTGTTATTTCATGAGAAACATGCAACCAAGATCTTTTTTATTTTTATTTTTATTTTTATTTTTAGTTTTTAAATAGGAGGGAAGATACAAAGAATAGCAAATTTTCTTGTCCTCCTTTTTCTTTTTGATCTCTAGAACTTAACATTTCCCTCCTTTATGATCCCATTCTTCCCCAGTGGCATCAACATCAATTTTTCCTTGACTTTTTTTTATAAATAAAAAAATGGTCTATTTAATTAATTAATTAATTTTTTAAGGGTTCTTCTATTCTAAAAGAACCCAATTTTTCTTTTTCTTTTTTAAAAAAAGACAATTAAAAAAAAGTCATTAGAGACAAATAAATTCAAAATAAAATGCAACTGTTTTACCACTTTACCAAACAGGTGTAATTAGACAATTGAATTAAGACTTGAGAAGTGGAACTATGTATTGATAATTTAAACCGTCTATCTCATAAGCCTCAAAATAAAGGTTATTCATACAAAAAATTAACTTCATCAGAAAATTGTAAGTATAAAAATAAATCTCATTTTATTTTATGAAATGAATGATAAATATAATCAAATTTAAACCATCTATTTTATAAAATAAAATGCGATTTGTTCCCATATTTATAGTTGTTCGATGAAGCTAATTTTTTTGTATAGATGACCTTCATTGCGAGACCTATGAGATAGACGATTCGGATCATCAGTGTGGGTTTGAATTAAAACCCGTAAAAAGAGTATGGAGAGATATAAAAAAAAATGAGATATGAAAGGGAGCTTATCCTGAAACTATTTTACCATTTAATCAACATTCTATCCAATATGAGTTTTGAGCCTATCATTTTAGAACAAAAAGTCCACTACCATGTCTTTAATTTTATAAATGACACTATCATATCATTCTATCTATACTGTTTTACCTTGTCCCAACTTCATCTTCGACAATAGGACCTAAAAAAAAGGATGCAATTTTGAAGTAACCATTAGAGCTAACTTTTAAGCCACTATAATTAGGTACAGACTCAGAATTTTTGTATAGGGGGCAAACATATATGTACTGACAAAACTTTTAAAAAGAAAGTATGAAATACAATATCAATTTATACTAGTATAAAAAGTCAAAATAAGATAAATAAATAAATAAATAAATATATATATATATATATAAAACATGTTTTATATATCTACATTAGTTAGAAAAGATAGCAACTATAAAATAATCTATATATTAAAATGAAAAATGTTGAGTTGTTTTGCTCGATATTCTTTTATGTCATTAAAACTGTCTATGATAGAATCGACATACAATATTTTTTTCAATAAACGTGATCAAATGTGTTACATGGACTCGCCGGTTTAGGGAAGAGTACCCGTGTCGACATGACACGACACAGGTGCGGGTGTGAGATATGTGTCGGATTCAACATGATTTTATTGAACACGGCTAATATAAGAGGAGAAAAAAGAAGGGTTGTTGAGAGAAACTTACAGTGGACCAATGGTAGCCGGAAGTCACAAGCCTTTTCGCCGGAAATCGCAAGCCTTTGTAGTTGGATTGGAGGTCGCAAGCCTCTGCCATGTCATTGCAAGCCTTTTGCCGGAGGTGGCAAGCCTCATCGGAAAACTAACAGAGATGAGAAAGAGAACTAAGAGAGAGATGGGAGAGAGATGAGAATGAGAGGAAGAGAAGTTACTCTGAGAAGTAATCAGTGTGTTTGGTTTTAATTTTTTGAATTTAGTTTTTTGAAAATTGAATTTTTATTTTTCATTGAAAACATTAAAATATAAAAAATACAAGTAGAATTTTTTGAAAACTAAAACCAAACAAATTAAATTCTTTTTTTTATTTGTGGTAAGAGAAGCTATTCGCAATTTCAAATATGAGAGAAAGATTGTACATAGACTAGACATGGCTCGAGATAGTTGGTGTTAGATTTGGACAGTGTGTTATAATCATGATAAGGGGAGATGGACATATAATATATATATATATATATATGAGTATTGTTATTTTGATTTAAAAATTAGATATATTTTTTTACATATATTAAAACAGAGTAAATTATAAATACATTTTTTTAAATTTGATTAAAATACGAATCGTCTATATAATTTTGAAAATTACATTTTACCCTTTGAGGTTTTTAATTTCATAACAAATCGCCTCTTTTATTAATAAATCATTAAATCAATTAATCCTTTTTAATGATGTTAAAAATATGTTTCAATTAATAATTTAAGAAATTTTATTATTGTATAGGAGTGCAATTATTAATTTAATTTTTTTAATTAATTCTGTTAAATAAAAAATTTTGACAAGGAGTATTTATAATTTTTCAAATCATAAGGAGTAAACTGTAATTTAAGCAAACCTCAAAAGATGTATTTATAATTTACCCAACAAAAAAAAAAAACAAAAACATGAAAGATTTCGTTTGACAAGTTAATATTTTAGGTAAAAGACTATTTAAAAAGTTAAAAAAAATAAAAACAAATCATACAAAAAAAATCAAAAATTCATTCTCATTCTCTTTGATTTTTACACGATTTTTGTAAAAAAACTACAAAATATTTTAAAATACTTCAAAA